CAGACCTATGGTTAGAGTGAGCGGACTATTTAGACCCTTGAGGATATACTGTGGGCGTGTGTTCTAGATTTCGGTGGGAGTTGGGATACGTATCTTCCATTAGCATAATTTTCGTATAACAACAGTTATCGTGCCAGCATTGATCGAGCTCCTTTTGAGATTCTCTACGGGAGGAAGTGTAAGACCCCGATTTGTTGGGCGAGGTTGGTTAGTGGGTTAAGGGGAGTACCAAGGTGGTACTCAAGACCACTGAGCTAATTCAGCAGGTTCGGAGTAGGCTCCAGACAGCTTAGAGTCGGCAGAAGAGTTATACCGACAGGCATCGGTCAAATTTAGAGTTCCAGATGGGAGATATGGTTCTCCTGAAGGTGTCACCCTTGGAAAGGTGTCATCCAGTTCAGGAAGCAGGGCAAACTGGGCCTCAGGTATATTGGTCCTTTCAGGGTTTTGGCTCGGGTGGGCCGAGTTGCTTATCGCTTGGATCTTCCAGATGAGCTCAGTCAGATTCATAGCACGTTCCATGTCCCTTAGCTGCGGAAGTGCTTGGTGGATGATTCCGCACTGGTTCTATTGGAGGATATTCAGGTGGATGACCGCTTGAATTAGATTGAGAGAACGATGGCGATTATGGATTGGAAGACGAAAACCTTTAGGAACAAGGTTGTCGAGCCGGTGAAGGTGCAATGGCAGCACCGCAAGGGTTCGGAGTGGACTTGGTATCCCGAAGATGATATGAGGGAGCAATATCTGGTGTTATTCGGGCCAGCGGACTTCGAGGACGAAGTCTGATTCAAGTGGGAGAGAATTGTAACACTTGGATGTTGGTATGTTCCTTATTTACCCTTTATGTTTAATTTGTTGCAATAATGGTCCTTGGAGTAGTACACAGGGTGTACTACATGGTACGCTGGGCGTACCACATGGTACGCTTAGCGTACTAAGGTGATGCTGGTCGCAGATGCGACGCCTCGTACGTTGGGCGTACGAGGGTTACGCTTAGCGTACTCGGAGATTAAGAAACCCTAATTTTAGGGTGTTGTACTCTATATAAAGACCTTAAGTCCCTAGGGCTGGCCTCTTTACCAACCCCCATATCTTCTAAACCCTAAAATCGACCTTAAGACTCCATTGTTGTGTCTTTGAGCTTTAGAGAAGAAGTTGGTACTTATTTTGCTCATCTTGAAGGATTTGAAGAATGGTGAAGGTACTTTGATTGGTGGGAATTTTAGAGATCCAGAATCATCACTCATTTTGCAAGCTTCTAGAGGTATCAAGTCCAAACCTTGTCTTCTTCATGCTTAGATCTCTTCATGTCTTAGTTTTTTATGCTTTTGGTCCCTTTTGGGTTGGTTTGATGAGTTAGGGCATTTGAAGGGCTTATTCTTTTAGATCTGAGCTTATTAGGAAGTTCTTAAGCATAAATGTGCAAACTTTATGGGGTTTTTGGTCTCATGCATGCAATAAGTCATCTATTAAGTCCTTTTGAGCTTTAAGAGCTTCATTTAGCCATGCACGAACGTAAAGTTAGCAACTTTACGTGATTAATCAGCTCAAGGAAGTCAGTTCTACGTTTTGGAGAAGTGTCTTAATGGATTAAGGGCTAAACATGGAAGATGGCTGTATGGGGTAGTAGGTTGGGCATGCAAGCCAGTACATGTCACGTACAAGCCCTAAAGCCTGTACGCTTAGCTTACAGCTGAGTACGCCCCGCATACTCAGTAAGTGGGCTTCAGACATTTTGGGCTTCGGTTTGGGCCAGTCTTTTGGGCTTAGATGCTTAGGGATTTGTTGGGCCATCTGAATGCAAGTTTTTTGGACTAGGAGTATTTTTGGGCCTTGGGTAAGGCCCATGTAAGGGTTTGGGCCCAATTTGGAAAATTAGGCCATGTATGAGCCTTGGATGATTATTTGGTTTTTGGGTCTTTTGGATTATAGGTTTGGGCCTAAGTCTTGGTCCAAACTAGGTAAGGGGTAAAATGGTCTTTATACCCTGTTTATGGACTGATAATTATCGATTGGAATCCAATTATTAATTAGATGTTATCTAGTATTGATAGCTCGGGGATGCCAAATATCTTTTAGTGTGATTTAGCAGTTCGAGGGGAGTTTTCTCACCATGTTTAGCTGGTCGAAGGCACCAATGCCGACCCATGATCTGTTATGTTAGAATACTCATAGTATGTACGACACTGGTATGTATATGTGCTTTTATGCTTACTGGGCGGGGCCCGATGGTTATTATGTATGTTATTATCTGTTATGCTTATATGAATTGTATGCGGGTGGGGCCCGTTATGCGAGTTAGGGCGGGGCCTGTTATACTCATTGGGCGGGGCCCTTTATGCGAGTCTGGGTGGGGCCCGTTATACTCAGTGGGCAGGGCCCATGATGCGAGTTAGGGCGGGGCCTGTTATACTCTTTGGGCGGGGCCCATTATGTGTTATATATGTATGGTATGTGGTATTTTGGGGAACTCACTAAGCTTTTTGCTTACGGTTTTCAGTTTATGTTTCAGGTACTTCCGGTTCCAGAGGGAAGGGCTCGGGATGATTGCAGAGCACACACCACCTCGTTCCGCATTTTGTGATTTACTCTGATTTGAGATGATGTTTGATACACTTATTTAATCTGGATTGTATCGATGATGTTTTGGAAGACTGATTTTATTAAATTAAAAATGAAATTTTTGGGTCTTATTTTTGGGACGTTACACCATTAAGCCATGCAAAGTCATAAAGTTAGGAACTTTATGACTTAAGACGTCCCTTAGAATCAGATCTGAGTGTTGGGCTTTAGGTCTTAAGGTATTAAGAAGATAAGAGTTGAGTTTGGGCATCAGTGAGTTACGTTGGACGTACCCTCCTGGTACACTGCTCGTAACGGGTTTCAGCTCGTTAACCCTCTCTTCGAATACGCAGTACGTGGGGCGTACTTACCAGAAGCCCTTGTGGGCTATTTTGGTCTTTGGGTCATTTTTAGTTTGGGCCATGATTTTTTGGGCCAAGTTTAGGCAGGATAAAATAGTCTTTTACCTCTTAGCATGATAGGATATGGTTGTACCTTTGTTTATGGGTTATTACCCTAATTATTGATTAGAATTGATCTTGGATATGTTCAGTGTGAGAAGTCGTGGTAGCAGCTCGAGAGTGAGATTTAATGACATCAGAGAGGTGAGTCTCCTCACTATACTTGTGGGTCAAAGGCACCAATGTCGACCCACCGGAATGTGTTATGTAGAATGCTAGCTGTATTTATGACTCTTGCATTGTATGTTGGGTTGGGCCCAATGAGCATGTATGTAGAGTTGGGCCTAATTACATGAGAGGGTTGGGCCCAATTACATGAGAGGTTGGGCCCATTATACATTGGGCTAGGCCCATTGTATGACGAGCTAGGCCCATTTGTATGTTGGGCTAGACCTATTGATTAGGAAGGGCTAGGCCCATTATTATGGGTTGGGGCCAATGTTATGTATGGTATGTGGTATTTTTGGGAAACTCACAAAGCTTTGTGCTTACAGTTTATGGTTCTTGTTTTAGGTACTTCCGGTTCGAAAAGGAAGGGTCCGAAATGACTGCACAGCATCCCATAGAGTTTTCCGCATTGGCAACTTTTGATCTTTACTCTGATGTTTAAATAATATATTCACTTTAAACGGTTTTGGAACAACTCGTTTGTATGATTTACTATTTTAAAAATAAAATTAAAAAAATATATGAATTTTTGGGACGTTAGATCTCGTCTCCCATAGACCTCAATTTTAGGGTTACATTTATTTCATAAAAATACTTCTTCATAAGCTTCATTTGTGTTTCACACTACTATAAGAAGTTTAAGCTCAATATTATTATGAGTTTATGCCAAGTTTTCCTCATGGTTTATCTCATGGCGTGACTTTCTACACTCTTAGGCATAATGACCATGATCTTGACAGTTTTTACATTACACCTCACTCTTATCCTGGTTATTGGATGAAACATGACCGCCTTCTCGATGTTGATGAGTACCTCCACCCCGTCGGCCTCCACTAATGTTGTTGCCACTTTTATCATGCTCTACCATGCCCTCAAATGGGGGTTCCATTAGACATGTGGTTCCTATAGGAGGAACTTGTTTCCTCTTCATCTTGTTTCTTAGATTTTTAAGCCACTCTTGATGCATTAGTAACAACCTCTTTTTCTCCGTATCATTATGACCACGTACCCGCTCTTCTTGTGCTTTCAGTCTTTTGACTCGAAGTAGCTTCTTTATAACGTAAGCTTCCTTAAGCTTGTCCCCCAAGGCTCATATATTCTTGGCCAATTTGTTTACCTTCATAGTGATCTATTTTTATGTTTTCCTTCATGTTTAACACTTAAAGTTCAGCTTTCAACTTCTAAACTTTTGTAGTCTTGACTTTACATATCCCCATGTACATCATCTGTAGTCTCCCAAGTCTCTTTCATCATGTTCTTCTCTACTAGCGATGATAACATCTTCTTGCCTTGATAATGGCAGCAAATGTCATCTTGTCTTTTCTAACGCCAAAGAATTCTTGTGGGTATTGGGTTCAATAGCGTCCCACACACCCCGAGCTTGCATGAGAACTTTCGTCTTGATGGCCCACTCAATATAGTTATTCTGGATAATATTGGATAATGAAGTGCAATTTGATCATCCATATCATTCTTTGTTGCGATGGATGAGGGTGGATCTTGGGCATAAAGTGTGCTATCCAAGCATAAGAAAACAACCCCCTTGTTTCTTGTTATTAAAACAGAAAATAGAGGAAGGTATAAGGAACGAAGGAAACTTGAGACAAAATACAACCTTTTTTTATTAAACTCAAAAATTCACGTTAACATAAAATAAAAACTCCTACTTATACCGAAAAGAAAATAAGAAAAAAAGAACTAACCTATCTTATACTAAAATGCAGGAAATGATAACCAAATTCAAACCAAGATAAGTCAAACACATATTGGAACATCATGGATTCTTCCAACAATAATTTGATCTATCTAAATATACGTTTCTAGTCCATCATTGAAGATGCGAACAAAAGCTTCCATCTCAGTAGCCGAAAGGCATAAGCCAATCTCCACATCTCCATTAGGTTCTTTGGAAGCTAACATGGATATAGATTCACTATAATCTATGGAAATGATTTCGTACTTTTTGGGCTTCCCCCATCCAAAATCCAAATCGTAAAACCTAAGCTTTGGTGTTCCGGCAACATTTATCATTGTTGTCGGCATCTCCTCCGACAACAATTTAAAGAACCAGTCCATATCTTTCACGATTCCATCCTTATCATTCAAGGTCTTGTGTAGATTTTCTCCCATCAACTTAGCAGCAGTTACGAATCCTTCCTTTCCCGTTAAAAGAGTAGGTTTCTCCGTCGCCGCAGTATACATGAGACAGTTGCCAAAGTATTCCATTGGGATCGGAGGATCCAAACGTGCCCTGCAATCGATGCTGAAACCAAATAGTTCTAGCTCATCATTACGTGATTCTGCAATGCAACTCCATATATAACCACATGCAACTGTAAACGATGATACATATGGCAGTGTTGGAAGTTGGTTTGAAACCAATTTCTTCAACCGAATAACGACATCTTGGGTCAAGATAAATGTGGCTCGAACTTTATCAGTCGCCCCAGAAAGAGTTGGAGGTTGATACTTTTCGTCAAAAGTTTCAACCTTTGCGTAAGCTAGATAAACATCATCTAGTATTTTCGGGTATTTTACTACCCTATCATACAACGGAAAAGTTCCATTAGCTAGGAATGACTCATCTGTGCCTGATTGCGCAATCGATGTCCACGCCTTCAAGAAGTCGAAATTGCTGATAGCATCACCCACGGCATGGTGGTTGGTTATTCCGATGGAGAATCCACGGTTTGAAAAAAGTGTCACTTGAACTGTCAAGATTGGGATTGTTATGTAATCGGAAGCTTCAGCAGTGCGTTTGAGAATGGGTATAAGATGATAAAACTGATCACACTCTCGAGGATGGTTTCCTGATAGATCGTTGAAATCAAGGTTACATTCTGCAATAGTAACCTTGACAGAATCACCTTCAACGTAACGAATTTCAGGTTTTTTAGCAGGAGTAGGAAATACGATCAAGTTACCAGCGAAAGGAAAAAAATGTTGAAGGGCGATTGATAATGAATTTTTGAGTTTGGGAGCGATGGTTTCAGTGAAGTGTGTTTTAGTAATTGGGAGCTCATAGAAGTAGAGAGTGTGCATGGGAGGGATGGCTAGCCATGAGAAGTCGAAGAAAGTTAGAGGCAGCGATCTGTCGCCTATGGTCGCTGGTGGTGGTGATACTTGGGACTCTTCAAGAACAGTCAAGATCGGAAGGGAACCCATTTCTTTTAACTTTCTCTGATGGTTCTATATCTCAAAGTTAGTGGAGTTAATTATATAAGGGTAAGGAGACTAGCAAATTATTGCATTTTTATTTTTATATGTTTTGTTAGGAAACATGGTAATTTTTTTATTCTTTTGTTGTATTTTTTGTATCAAACGATTCACTGGATTACGGCATCCATCATCAGGTTCAAGATTTTGGGATACCATAGGATTATCTTATAGTTGATGCCAATTTTTTATTAAATTGCAATATTCTAAAAAGGAATTATGAACAAAAATGAAAGGAAGGAAAGAACCAAACGATACAATGAGCGATGTTATAAAACAAAAAAAACAAAAAAAAAAATCAACTGACAACCTTCCAAAGAATAATTGATACTTTTTACTAAATTGTTCTCATTGGCCAAAAGAATGAAATTACATCCATATATAAATAACAATATAAATAACAATGTAAAAACCTAAAAACTAAGAAATGGGAATTGGGAAACATGGGCTATAAACTCCTTTAATGGAAAAATATATAAAACAATAATTAAATAGAATGTAAGAGATTGCAAGAACGTGCAAGATGTGGGGGTGACTTGGCATTTAAAGCGTGGATTACATGCAAAGGTATGTTAACACTCAAGAAAGTGTTGCAAAATATTGTCACCAAACTTCTTCCGGAGGCCTTAGTCATTGCTCCGGATACTCACGATGGGGGTCTAGCGATTGAGAAGTGAAATTATACGCATGATGTCTAAAGCTCAAACGTTGACACAAACTAAATATTGTTATTGTTTTATGATTGACCTCACACTGAGTCTTAGGACGGGTTGATATGGACTATTCTCGTGGATTTTATAAAATTAAAAAAAAATCAACTCTATTTGGATAATTTTCAGATACTATAATAACGTTATCAGTTTATGTTCTTTAAGTTTTTATGTGTACTATATAATTTGAACAAAATTAATATATGTTATTTCACAAGTAGAACTAAGAATCTTAATTGAAAATATACACAAATTTAAGTATAGTAGATCTCGATAACTAAATATTTGCAAACAAGTAAATAGTTAAGTTTTGTGTCAGGCAATGGTAAAAACGAAAAGACCTAGGATTTAATAAATATATGCTTGAAAATTAATAGAATAATCTACTGTGTGATGAAGGGTTGATCTCGTGGGAGTAGGTGGGAAATTGCCTTCACTCAAAATAAGACGCATGTGTTTTTTCATTAATTTTTTTAATCATAAAATGAGAAGTAAATTTCAGAAATATGTACTGTCATTTCATTGAGCTTAAAATCAATTTTTTTACAGACAATATGGTTCTTTTTCACAGAATTTAATTTTTGTTTTGATCTTTAATACCGTTAATTGTCATCCCTTAAATGTGGGATAATAAGAGGGTAACAAACTACATTTTATCTATCTATATTTTTTACACGATTTTCCAATGATTTTTTTGAAATTTGTACATGAACCAAGAATCTTTTGATTGTGTTCAAAAGATATCACCAACCTTTTATTTTGTTTACGTTTATCTCGCGAGTGTCATACCATACTTTTCTATTGTCATACCATACTTTTCTACTATCATATTATTTTTTATCTCACCTCACGAAATTGATGGGTGTCATACTATACTTTCTCATACCTACAGACCTACCACATTACACATTTTTATCATGAATTACAATATTTGAATGAGTTCATTTTTTTGCGTGTGGCAAATCCATATCACAGACCATCTTTACCACATTTTTTTACCTCTCGGTACGGTGTTTCCCGCATACCACAATTTACCGTGATATGCGATATAAGGTGCATCGAATAGCCTTACTGATTGACATGACATGTTTTGTTATTGCTGAGATTTTTTAACGATATTGCGTTTCATTATAAAAAGAAAGAAAAGTGGTGCTAGTTATCGAATTCGGATACTTATGAAGCAAGATCACTCGCTTAGGCCAACTCCAACCATCCACTATACTACACTATTTTTGTGTTTTGGAGGGCAAGAATACTCCAACCAACCTTCAAATTTAGCACCATTTTTGTGTTGGTTCAATTTTAACATCAAATATAAAGGCCAAATGGTAAGGCCTCTAAAACTCACTATTTTAGAGGTTGATTGGAACTCAAACACTATTTTGGTGCTAAATAATCACTATTTTGATGTTTGTGGTTGGAGAAGCTCTTAGTCGCTTTACCCCTGGTATCCATATAAGGCTATAAGCTTTCCTTTTATTTTTCTGATTTGCAATATTACTAGATAAATCTAATATAACTGGTTACCAAAGTATTTTTTGTACAACCAATAAAACTTATTGGTAATACGTGTATAATATAAAAAAAAAATTATTAGTAATATGTATACAACAAAATAAATTGGTTTTTTTTTTTTTAAACCAAAGATTGTCATCATCCAAATTATTAGCACATTACTATTTGGCTCGATAAATGCTCTTTACATATTTTTATGTAACTTGTATCATTATTGAAAGATAATAAGAAATGAAAAATATAATTTCATAATCATAATAAGGGCCACTTTTTATTTTTGCTACAATTTTAATAATTAAACAACAAAGATCCAGATATATATTGTTATGTTTACATTAATAATCAATTCAAAACCCAAAGTACCAAATGTGCGTGAACATAAAAAAATAAAAAATAAAAAAACAAATGTAATAAAGTAAGAAAAGATCAACTATTGCAACTTAATCCTCCGACATTTTTTTGTTTTTCTTTATCTTTTTGTTTTTATTACCTCTTCAATCTTTATAAATAAACCAAGAACCAAACAAATTTAATTTTAGCATATAATACATCACAAATAAAACAAGAAACAAAATTTATTACTTATGCCTATGTAGTGGTCTTTTAATATATCGTCAATGTTATCAATAGTGGGCTTTTTTTGACTTTCTTATCCAATCTTGTATGCAACCAAAGGTCGTGACCAATAATAATGTAAAACATAATCTTACAAGAAGGGAAAATGATTTATATGGGTAACTATGTTTCAAAATAGTTCAAAAAATATCATTCAAGTTTGGTGTGTCCAAAAAACACCATCCAAGTAAAGCATTTGTACAAAGAACACCAACGAAGTACATTCTTTGTTCAAATTTGACCGTGTCGTAACCGGCAATTACCGGTAAAAAATAAGTAAAGGAAAAAAAACAAGAGAAAATGACTCAAAGGGGTAACTATGTTTCAAAATCGTTCAAAAAACACCACCAAAGTAAACTTTTTGTACAAAAAACACCAACAAACTATATGTTTTGTTTAAATATTACCCACCGGTAACTGGCTCTTACAAGTTAAATGATGACTTTGCTTAACTATTATGACATGGCATAATAATTATTGACAAAACAATAAATGATATATTCCTCCTTTAAAAATCGATTTAGGGTTTCTTCATGAACGAATGACTTCTTCTTCTCCTATGATTGTTCTTCTTCTTCTAAACTGATGATCTCGAACTTAAGTCCAAAACCTTAATTCTTGACTTAAGGTAAAAAGGGCTCCTTTACCCCCTGCCTCAATGGGCCTCCCTCCCCCTAAGGCCTAAATCTATAAAAAGCCCAAAAAGGCATACAAGCCCAACTACAAGGCCTCTAAGGCCCAATATGGCCCAAGAACCCCCAACATGGCCTTAAGCCCAAAAAATGACCTGCTACAATCAGGTGGGCCCGAGGCCTAACTTAAACAAGTCCATGCATACACCCAGCATATGCTGAAGCCTCTACGATCCGGATGTCGAGCCAGTACGCCCGGCGTACTCCTAGCGTACGCCCAACGTACTCGGCTAGTGTCACACCCCCGAACCAGACGGCGGAAACGTCCGAGGGCTCGTGTGACTTAAATTGAAATATCATCACAATGAATATACATGAAACATAACATAAACATCACCATGCATTAATACATTACAACCGTCATAGTTCACATCAAGTACATTGTTTACATTACATAAATCCCAAACATATATTGTTTTTCAAAATGACATCACACAAAAGACATTCAGACACACGCTTGATAATTCTTCATTCTAACGGTTACCTGAGAACACAAGTTATTTTGAAAACGGTCAACATATATAATGTTGGTGAGTTCATAAGCAGGTTTGATATGAAAATGTTTTGTATTGTTTGTAAAACCCAGAAAATCTGATATTTTCTGATACGACAATTGTTTACGAAATAGGTGTGATGATCCATAAGTATATGCGTGAATGATTTCAAAACGTGTAAAAGTAGTATGTTTCTCATAATGAATTCTTGTATTATAGTTATCGAAAGTAAAAGTGAATAATGTTGTTCCCCCGGAAAACCCGATGTTTTCCAATATAAATAGTATGATCGTTTTGTATTATTGTATCGTCACAACGAATGAATATGATTTCTCATGATTACTTAGATGGTATTGGATCTCTATGTGAGTCGTTATAACTATGCATAATAATGACTATTTCGTCTGTCTTGGCATTATAGTGAAAGCCGATATTGAATTAAGATTTTGTCACCCTAGACTGGCCGAGTCTAACTGTAGCGAACAGCTTAGGTGTGGGGGAGTCACCCCCGTATATATTTATACACAAACTCTCGCTCTCCCTCCAGGAGACTTTGATTATAACTACAGACTACGACCGACACTTATTGGTGTCGCCCGTTATTACTCACTAAATCCAAATGAAATTGAATAACCTTGTTTAACAACCTGATTTATGTTTACTTGAATAAAAGGTAAGCCTAACAGACGAAGAGAAGAGGACTACGGGGCCTACTAATCACGTATGTTATTATAGGCTGTCGAGTATGCGACGGACACGTTAGCCCATCACGCATATGATTGATTTGGACCTTACTAGCAATGCAAATGGGCCACTACGGCCCAATAGCATGTAAAAGCCATTGAGGGTCCATTTGTAACATCCCAAAATTTAGAAGTATGGTTGAAGGACTTAAGTGTAAATTGAAGAAGGTACTCGACGAG